TACTTATAAGTTAGTATGGTAAGGCTTTCCAATTTTAATAGTTGGTACTACTGATTTAAACAAAGCCTTTCATCCATTTGGTTTAGCGATATGTTCTAATGAAAAAACAAATGGTTTTGCATTTATTTTTAAAGATATTCAAATTGGAATGCAAAAGATTAATAAAGATTTATTAAAACCAAAAGCATTAATATCTGATGCTGCTGATGCAATTAAAAACGGATTTAAAAGAGTATTCGACAACTCATATGATCATATAATGTGCTGGGCACATATGAAGAGGAAAATTAACAATCGTGTATGCCAAATAAATGATAAACATATTGCAAAAGAAATGATAAAAGATATCGAAATGCTTCAATTATCCAACTCAACACCTGTATTTCAATTAGCATCAACGTTATTTATGAAAAAATGGAAAATGAACAACAAACAAAATAACCAATCAATATTAGATTTTTAAAATTTTTTTGATAATGAATGGCTTCAATTAAATTGTGGTTGGTACGAAGGTATACAAATGTATGTACCAAGTACAAATAACGCTTTAGAATCAGCTAATACAACAATTAAAGATGATGGAACATTTAGAGAACGTCATATTTTGTGAAGATTCTTGACAATAGCGTCAAATATTATTAATAATTGGTCAATTGAGCGAGATCCTTCTTCAACTAATGCAAAAATATTTGCTACAGAACCGCCAATATCTTTAGAATTATGGACTTCATCTTATCAATGGGCTAAATCAACAAAAGATATAATTTGTATTTCCAACAATTCTTCAAAAATTTATTATATACCAGCTCGTGATTTACAATCCAATAAAGAAGCTGATTTAACTAAATACGAAAATAAGAAATGGACGACTCTCAATCAATTTAGAAAATCATTTGATATTTGGCGTATGGAAATGGAGAATAATGAAGCTTGGAAAAAATCAAAATGTAACTGTCCAGCGGTTTTTAAGCATTATATATGCAAACACATTGTTGGTATGGCTATTCGTTTAAAATATTGCAAACCACCATCAGCAGCAAAAACAGTACCAATAGGTGAAAAAAGAAAACGAGGTAGACCAACGAAAGCTAAGGCTGCTTTACTAATACAATAGTTCAATTTTCATTCTTTGTTTTTCATGCCATTCTTTCATTTCTATTTACTATCCTGTTGGATTTCTTATTTATTCTATGTGTCTTTATTTAATTTCTTTTCTTGTATATCAAATTAATCTTTATGGAAATAAAACTTATTTTTTCTACTGATAAAACCTGAGTTGTTTACTGATCAAATTTGAACTTTTAACCGACCGAATTTGAATTTTTTACTGACCGAACTTGATTTATTTATTTATCAAGTTTTAAATTTTTACTGATATATTTATATAAAAAACTGACCATTTCACTACTGACCATTCAATATTAGCACTGATCATTTGCCTATTTTTTTACTGACCATTTCATTTATTTTACTGACCAGAAATTATCTTCCCAATACAAAATATCACTTGAAGTGAAATGATGGTTTACAAAAAACTCGTGGCCAACCAAAATTACATAAAACTAATGTACGAACAAGAACCGTAACATGTTCGAAAAACATGATTACATCATCCATATTTTGATATGCATTAAATATATTAAAGAATTAAGGTCAACATTAAAAGGTGCGGTAAATACTACAATTAATTTTCTTAAAGAAGTCTCCAATTGAAACATTGATCAACATGAAAAGCTAGCAAGCTTCAATATTCAAGACTTATTTACAAATATTCCTGTCACAAAAGCCATTGATACTACAATCTAAAAACTTGATGAAATGAATAAGTTGCAAAACTCATTACTCACCAAGACGGACATTAAAGATGTGTTTTACATTCCACTA